GGCCAGCCGAATGTTTGGTCTAGAAATAAGACCCTTAGTGAGAAAGTAATCAGTGAAAGTCTGGCTGACTTCTACTTTGGTAAAGTGTGCATCAGTCACATTTCTGCTCTCCCCCGAGCTTTCGAACGGTACCATGCTTACAACTAGCCCATCATCTTCGGCTTTAAGTGCGCCTTTGATTTCATTGATTGTGCATGCTTATAGCAATGTCTTGTCCTGAAGTACATTCCTGAGAATTTTCAGTCCATTTTAAACTCCTCATTCCACTGCTCCAGAGGCCTTGTGAGCTTTTAGGGCAGTGTTTCTTAAAGTGTGGTCCGCGGATCCCTTAGGGGTCTCCAAATGTGTAATTCCGTCAAAAATGTTCTGGAAGTGATCATTTTATTTTATAGTTTGATGACAAAGTTGCAGTGAAAATTTATTCAATCATATTTGACGGTCTACATTAGCCTTGTGAATTGCCCAAATAAAACACACTGCTTCCAAGAAGGAACCTGTATTTGGCAGAGGCTTAAAATGTGTGTGAACGAACCTGTCAAATGTCCGAAAGGTAGTGTGGTAATCTCACCCATAACCCAGGCTTTGTCCCCCGGGAGGAGGCGCAAAGTACTTAATGATATATGGCCCCTTTTGCGGTCATTAACTAGATCGCTATCTTCCTAAGCCAGCGAATCGGAAACAGAGGCCCCTTCGCACGATTCCACCCAGGGACGCCCAGAAGAACAGCGTGGATATTTCGGCGTTTTGCGAGTATGCTCATTTGACTCTGCGAATTGAAGAGAAACTCACTTCAACGTCACAAAAGGGTGCTTGTTCTGTTTATTTTATACTTCATTCAAACTTCGACTTATCATAGTAAGTAATTTAAAGGTGTATTCTATACTCTTGTGTTGAATTATTCAATCCCATTTTAGCATTAAAATGCATCGTTGGCTGAAGACAGACATTAATAAATGAGCCACAGAAATATTCATCATCGAATTTAGTTGTGATAATAGTTAGGACGTCTAATGTGCTTTCTGTGAATGCAGATGTATCTGCACTACGTGACCCGATTCAGCATAAATGCGTGCCAACCGGAGCCTCTGTACCAGTAAGAGCCGTAAATACTACGACATTTATCTTGTTTGGGTTTATGGATTCAGCCGGTGGCCGAAACGATTGCACTCCTGGTTTGCAATTCTTGGGTCACCGGTTCGAATCCACGTAGGGGCGGGCGTCCTTTCGATAAGGTTTGCCCATGCGTGATCGGTTGTGGTCTCGTGGCAGCGAGGCGTCGATAGAGTGTGCCCGACGTACTGCTGATGACTTTTTACGGAGTCCGACAAACAAACTTCTTCCGAACGGTTCCATGGCGCTTGTCCAACTGCGGTCGCATTTTAAAAAACTGCTTGCGGACTGTAAGGACAGAAAAAGGAGTACTTTGAGCCCAGGCGAGATGAATTGTCCAACACTCAAAAGTACTTGTTTCATAGTTGGTTACGTAGTTGTTTATCGTATTCCGCTGACAGCAGAACCTCACACAATATCCAGGAAACTTATCAAGCCATGTGCAGTCGAAATGAATAGGTGCATGCTGAATGAAAATTAAACAAAACAACTGTCTTTAATACCACGGTATCTCAAACAATTAAAACACAAGCAACTGCTGTTAAGCAGAAGTTAACCTCATGCATCAGGTATATTCACTTCGCTCTTCAAATTTATGGCTTGACAGATGTGGAGGACTTGCCGTGCTGATTGTGCTATCCCTGGATTGAGACATGCTTTTGTGCGAACCTCTACCGAACAACCATAGTTGTGCTGAGATTTTCATAATCGTGTATAACTGTACACACCATTCCATGGGACAACTGCATCGATATTTACACTGATGGTACCAAAGCAATTGCTGGAAAAGTTGCTGATATTGTGACAAATATCAAAACCGTTGCAAAGGCCTGTATAGGCAGTCAATGTATTCTACATCGACAAGCACTTGCCGCAAGAAAAATGCCACCCAATTTCAAAACGATCCTCTATGAGGCAGTTAAAGTAGTTAATTCCACGAAACACCGACTGTTCAAGATTCTGTATGACGACATCTATTATGCAAAATATTCCTGCGTCTGTTAGAATTACGAACAGATCATGGATCACCATTTGATTTACAGCTCCGGATGGCTGACACAAAGTGTTAGGTAACACTTGCCTATTTGTCCGATATCTTCGCAGAAATAAATGTCGTAAACGTAACATTGCAAAGAAAATCTGCAATCATAATCAATGGGAATGACAAAATTCGTGGGTTCAAATGAAATTTACAATATTGGGCAATTTCTGTTCTCACTAAATATCTTGATAGCTTTCCGGCATTAAAAGACATTTTAGTAGAGATGAAGTGGGGCACAGAAATCCCAGAGGATCTGTATGGGGAAATTGTGCAGCATATGAAAGTTCTGGTAGAAGCCTTGTCTCAAGGCAGATGAGGAAAATCTAAAACAATTTTCATAGATCAAGAACCCATTTACTTGTATGAAAAGGCCTTCTTTCAGATCTCTTCAGTATGAAAAATTCCTCGACAGGCTATCAGATTCTTGCTTTCTGGATGAGTTCCACAAGCCGTCGCTGTCTGTGATCTGGGGGTCAAACAACAGACCAGTACGCTGTCCTAGCAAAGACAACTGTCGCCTTGCTTCTACCATTTAGCACAAATTATCCGTGTGATGAAATTGCATTTTCGCATTACACCTTTAGAAAACAAGCTGCCACAATGTGCCTGAAGTTGAACCACATATGAAGGGTTGCAGCTTTCCTCAATAACAGTAGACATCAAACAAGTCCACACTGCATGTCAGAAACGATTTCATCTTACATATTAAGCCCTAATTTTACGTTGTTTTTTTTCGCCTAAATCCAGCAACTTTCATTTTTTACTAACATTAATGAACGCCCCTGTTAATTCCATGTACAATGAGGAACGTTTCCAGGACACTTCGCTTCATTCTTTTTTAAAGCCTAGTTCTTTTTGGTTAACAAAGTGTCAGGGGGTCCGCAGTGCGTGGTTCCACTAGAAGGGGATCCACGAGCCAAAAAGTTTGAGAAACCCTGGTCTAGGGTAAACTCTCCTGCGTTCATCAAAAAATAAGTGTCAAGCTAGTCCTTTTTCCCTTTCTCCTCAACTTTGTGATCGAAGTGACCATGTCCTCTCCTAGGGTGGGTATTCTGCTATGTAACCAATTGTCAAACCTAGAGCACGTGAGCGATACACCTCTATCCGGATCCGACTCAGCTACTGTGTAAACGCTACTGGGCAGATTGGCGCATAATGCTTTAGCATGTGTAAATCACTGATACCACCAGTTTTCACAGTTTGGTAAGGAATGGTCGACTAGTTCACTTATTTAAGCAGTTATATCACAGAGTATATTCCTGCCTCTCTTCCTAAGGCCCTTATGACTTTCCAAAGCCCCAGCCGCTTGTGGGGACTTTGTTGTATAAGCTTAACAACTAATTGGATGTGTCACGCCCTGAGGGTTTTAGGGGACTGACCCTTTTGGAGCACTGACGATTGCTCGCTGTTTCTCATGTATGATGGGAGAGTCGGACGAACAACGCTACTTCACGTCATCTGATGCTTGGCACTACGCACTTCGATGCTTCATTTATGTGTCTGTTAACTTTGAGTCTCCTTCGCTTGCCCCCCCCCCCCGACCTGCCAACGACCTGGCTACCTCGGCTGCTGATCGAAATCCCGATGTGGCCAGCCGGTAAAACTGCACATGAATATGAACTAACCGCATGGGCGTCATCTCATCAGATAGGGTCTGCGAGATCGGCCACATCAATAATATTACTCTGTCTGATAAGGCACAATCGCAGTCATTGATGCTCTTCTTAATTCTCGTTCACCACAGCCACTCCGTATGACAATTTTGCTATTTGCGCATTCTTTTCGCCTCATTATTGTCGTCGTCGTCATCGTCATTACTGCTGTCGTCTTGGCGGTGTGTGTCATGGCAACTGGGCCGACAGCACCTCGGTGCACTGAATGTTTTTTGCCTCTACCCGAATGATTATCTCGCTATCCACTTTCACATAGTTCTGACTGGAATGGTGCCAAGTATTTCGAATCAGCAATCCTGAAACTAAACGCATCATTCGTGGTCACACTGGCAATGTGGCCATTTGTTCTAAATTTACCGCTTCTGATTGATACGCGATAAAAGATGAAACGTGCATTTGCGCTGGGCCGATCTTTTCTTGGTATAAGGTTTACCGTCTTTTTGCAGTTGGAAAGTCGACTGTTGCTGTCACAATAACAGAAACTTCCCACTCACATAAATGTACTGGTGCATCTCTGTTTTGCCTCGTACGTCATCCTCTCGTTCGTCATTTTTTGTCATTTTGGGTCAAGAACAGAAGATGGTTATTGCATTGATATTCAACCCATCCTATTGGTTTTGGAACTGCAGAAGGCGATTATGTCATTTTCAAAAGCAGTGTGTAGCTTCAACTGTGTCCTTGTTGTTCTGTTCGTCACCTCCAACGCTTCTAGACAGCGCACTATCTTTCTACGTGTGTTGCTTCCGCGGCTTCGAAATACGCATCTTTTCTTCCGCTTCGTGCACCCGTACTGCGTTGACTTTGTGCTGTAGAATGGCAACTATTCGATTTCCGGCCGGATCACCCTTGTTTTCACTGTTTCCCGGGTCTCCATCACCCCATCACTTTCGATTTTCCTTAAACTTCCCTCCGTAGCCTAACAATAACAAGTTTGCTTTGTAATCTGACGGCGCGGGTTTGAGCCTGTGTAGGGACAGGGCGACCTTCGCAGTATCCTTAGCCCACGTGCAAATGGTGGTGGTTGCGTGGCAGCGAAGCGTCGGTACTGCTTACTAACCTACTGCTGATGCCTTTTTTTCTCAGCGAGTTTCTCGCTTGTCCACTCATCACCCATCAACCTTATTGTGTACTATTGTTCTATCACTTTAAAACTATCATTTTGTTCTCATCGTCAGGCACGGACTTGCTCGTACCGATCTGAACATTCTCACCGATCCCGAGTTCAGCTTTTGCCGTGTCGTCAACCTTATCAGAGAAAAACTGGTACAGGAGTCCGCAGTGATAGATTGTCCTGGGGAGTTATCGGACAATCCAATGCACCGTTCGAATATTGCGCTGGCGGCCGCTTCAGCAGCCAAGGCAGTGATGGCTCAACTTGAAAAAGATTCTCCCAGACCATTCAGTCCATCCAAATTGACCACTTCAGCTGACTCAAGCGCACTTCGTTCGGAGAATGGGCTGGGATCGGTATTCGGCCCGGACTCTTTGACCCCCCGGGTGAATGCGCACTCAGAACGGGACAGTGCGATCATCGACTCAATGCAATCGAAGCGCAACGATCCTTCGGCAGACGAATCATCCGAACGATTGGACTTGTGTGCTACGAAGGAGGGCCATGTTGATCCCGAGATTGCACCAATGGAGTCCGCACCTGACTCATGCGGCGGGGCTGCAGACGAACCGCATTTACTTTCGAAAAAAGCTGAATCTAAAGGTAGTTAAAGTTACACAATTCCCTTTTCTTCTATATCATTCCTTTCCCTACCCATAGCCCTAAGAATCACAAGCCTGCCTTGTAATCCGAGGTCGCGGCTTCGCGCCTGCGCGTAGGGACTGAGCGGCCCTCTTAGCCGACGTGCTACTGGTGGTGGTTGCGCGGCAGCGAAGCGTCGATACTGCGTACCAGCGTACTGCTGATGCCCTTTTTATTCATTTCCCACATCAGTCACTTATTTCGTTCAATTCCTTCATGTATGGCAGCGGTAGCTTTCGTGATTTTTCTATTACACTGATATTTTGTTTCATGTAAGCAACTTCCTTTCCTTACCACCATGGTTGCATTTCTGGCTTCCAATGTTCCAGCAGGTTCGACTTTTGCGCTAAAAGCCACCCCAAACCTCCGTTCCAAAGATGCTTCAAAAGAGGACATTAGCAAATTCATCTCTGGGGCAGAAAGTTTATCTGCAGAATGGTCTGTGAAGTACGCTACAAATCTCGCCACAGCCTGGCCGAAGGACCGAACGATACAGCATCGTCTAGAATTGATTTGCCAAACCATCGAAGTGAGTTTGTCTCCATTTCGATTAAATTCTTATCTGCTCCATTTTGAAGCCAGTTTGGTATCTCTGGCCTTCCTTGTCCCTTGACATGTCTTCCATTTCGAACTTCAACTAGTACGATGCCCATCCCTGTTGATGTGTAGTCTGTTGTTCACTTCTGAGTTAGCGGCCATGTAAAGCAAAAGTTGCCTTCGTTTCAAATCCCGCTGTATTCTGCTCCGCACTGCACATTCCTTTCATGCATCATGAATGAACTACCTCGATTATTAGAACTAGTCGCCATGGCAATCAATTTTGAAGTGAGCCAATTTTTCCCACTGAATGCCTACTCACTTTAATTTTTCCTCCGCTATTTTGCCCTCCCTCATCTGTGATCAGACAAACGAATGGCCTGCTCCACGACGTTATCTTCCCGCCGCAACCGGGTCTTCCACCTCAGTTCTAGATCCGAAAGGGACGACGACAACCGACCCGAAGCTGGCCAGCTACACGACCGCATACACAACCGTTCGTCACCCGGCTGTTGCGCATTCTGCATTCCCCATCTCCTTGTCTCATAAACTTCAAGCCAGCTACGGGATGTTTCACTCGAGCAACGCGACCAAGCACCATCACCCTGGTGTTCCTCGCCCGATCCCAATCGAGTCTCCTAAGCAGCTGAATTTCTCGAACTCCTTGCTCCGTAGCCCACCGGCACCCTCCGAGGATGGTTCGTTCCAGTCGATGGATGTATCTGGTGGTGGTGACTCTGGCAGTTTCGACTCATCTCATCCGCTTAACCTGGTCAGCTCTCCTAATTCGTCAGCGCATCGCGGCTATGATCCCTACAAGAGTCGCACACACGCCTCCGTTATTTTGACCCCCACCTCCCCTACTTCTGCTGAAGATTACAGCAAATCCGCCGCAGCTTCATTCAACTTTGACGGCTCTCCTAACTCCGCTTCTTTTACCTCAAGTGGCTCTATCGCTCCTCCTACATCACGTGGTCGCGGACGGGGCCGGGGTCGGGGTAGTCGCGGCAGCCGATTATTGGGCGCGCGCCAACGCCTTTCATCGGCTTCTCAGCGTGGGGTCTATGGTTCAACATCCCGCCTAAGCGCCTCCCCTCATTCTCCCACATCTGGTGGAGACTACCACAACCGCTCCACCTCACTCACTCGTGACGGTATGAAGCGAAACTGTGGTCAGGTGAATCGGGATTCTGAGGACTTTCTCTCACCATCAGACCGCCACCATCGCGGAATGCCGCCACCAAATCTCACCTCAGCTCCTCGATCTCTCCCCGGTGGCCGCGGGAGGAAGAGAAAACTAGATTCTCCCCGAAATTCCATGGACTTTTCCACTGTGAGTCATAGAGGAGGAGCGTCTCATTCAAAACGTGAACGCAATGACCCATCCGGATCTGGTGCAGAATTACCCAGCAAAGTATCCAAGTCTTCCTCAAGAGCTAGAGGTTCCTCGGCATCCGGTTCCGATGTTTGGGAGATTCGTGTTCCTGTCATTAGCCTTGTGGACGGCTCGTTGATCTATGGTGACAAAGCTCCGAAACGTCGCAATTTGGAGGCTTGGTTGGAAGCTAACCCGAACTACATGCCGTATTCGGTGGAGATGGTGAGTGTGTTACAGTCAAGTTTAATGCAGCTATTTTTCACTCAGTCCCTACTCTTCTCTCACACGTATCCGGCTTGTTATATGGATCCTTTTAGTAGATTAGCATTCTGATCTGGCAAAGGCAAGATGATAACTATTGACGTTTTTTCACACGACTTTGAAATCTACCCTCTTCGTGGGAGCACCTACGGGATTCGGGAAATCACTATGGAGGCAACTACGAATAAGTCTCGTTTGTCTTGCAGGCAAGATGAATAAGCAGTTGGGAACAATCAGTAGCAGCGTCTCAGAGCGTGGGGAGTTCTGGAATGGTCACCTGGTTCTCCGTCACATACCACAATAGCTCGTACGGCACTGTATCAAAGCCGGTGTGACCGCCTATAGGATCACTGACCACTCCTATAACCAGAGGTGAGTACCTAACGGAGAACGGATGAACAACCTTGTTGGCCACCGGCTTCCTGTGGACTGCTACCGAACACAAAGAAAGCGTATGACCTAGCCGGCTGTCAACGTTCTTCGTTTATCGCCCAGCTGCCTTGCGGGTCAGGTCTTTAAGACCAAAGGCTCGGGGTGAGGTCCCTTAAGTCAACCCTCTTCCTCAGCCTGGGCACTCGGGAAGATTTCTGCCCACACAACGCATGGACCTTCTAAAGCTTCTTAACCCTTTCACTGGCTACCTGTTTTTTCCTTTTGTTCCTGTTGTTGTTGTTAACTGTGTTGTGGCACTGCCAAATGTATATTGATCAAATGTTGAATTATATATATATATATATATATATATATATATATATATCACATGTTGTCTAGTATGTGCACCACATCTTTCTCCCATCACATTGAGACTGTACTTTAACACAGTGCAATGGTGTGTGTGCTTCCACGATCCACTATCTCACACTGAGTGGTAATTTTCAGATAGTTTCAGTGCTCCTCATACCAGGCACGCCAATGGTTAAGGATGTCAGGCAAACTCAATGTCCTCCTCATAGTAGCTCTTGGAAAGGTTGATGGCTCTCCCCTCTAAACTTGTACCACCAGTATCGATAGTTTGCAGGTAATGAGTTTGGTTTGACCGATGTGAAGCGCAAACACCACCGGTTGCTGCATTGGGCTTTGTGGGGCCCAGCCCTTGCTCACTACTTTTCTAACAACTGTCTCAAGCTAGGAAGTCTCCGCTGAAATTCATCCGAGGTTGATTGTGGTCGGGAAACGCGCTCAACCACTTTTAGTTCTTGTTTTTTGTAGATGCGTGTGACCGGACCCGATGAGTCCGTGAACTCATACCCCGAGTTTGGTGTGCTCACCACATACCTTTGGATTAGGCTATTAAGCCAATGGTCGAGGTTGCTACCGTCGAGCGCCATTTTCTCTCGTAGAATGCGACCGCAGAGTAGCACCACTCGATGCCCTCTTTTTCTAGCCGTATCCTCCGTCTACTTTGTTACATGCTCTCTTCTTGATATGTTGTCTATAGACAATCCGCCCGTAACTCCCATGACACTGTCGTTTATGTGTCTGCTTTCTTTATCGAATAACACCACCGTTAACTTTCGCACCCTGCAATCCTGGTCAATAAGTCGCACTTGCCATCATTCTGCTCCCTCGTAGATTATTTGTAAGTGGATTTTACCATAAATCGTGAAACCGGCTAAGAGTTTACGGGGAATCATTTCTATCGTTCCCGTGAAAAATGAGACACACTAGGTCTGCCGCGTGTTGTATTTCTTCTTCCACTTTTGGCGTACTGGTCTTGGGTGATTGTCCTCTCAGCTTCTTTTTGAATGGAAGTTCTGCTGCACACTTTAATGGGGAGCTTGGAATACTCATGTGCATCCTAGCCCTCTTTAAATTTCTGACCAGAATGAGTCTGAACAGCTCCTTATTTTTACTCTGGGCAAGTGCTTGAACTGCATCGCACATACCGCTGGTCGTTTGCAGCTATGTTCCTCGCCTTAACTAGATCATCCGTGGTATAATGTGGTTATGGTTCCCAGTGGCGATAGCTGCACAGAGACTGCTGCCCATTGCGTATGACTGTGAATTGTTTGTGAGGTGCAGGCATTTTGATCCTAGCTGCTTGCTCAAAGCACTTCTCAACTAGTCGTATGTTTCTGATTTTACGCTAGCGAAACATCTGTACAAACTTCTGCTATACTACCGATCTTACTGAGCTGGTGTTTGGTCGACAGATCTGCACGAAGTATCTAATCAAAACCACGTATGACTTTGGCGCCGACCCTCTTCTTGGGAGGACCTACGAGGTTCGGGAAATCAGATACTAGCAAAGTTTGTTGGCACTGTGCACCCAAGAATGGCTTAGTGTCCTTGAGTTTGTTTTGTAAATCCCACACTGTTTGCATCCTCGTCCCTTCTCATGTTTGTGTACCAGCTCCTGTCTATGATCATATCACAAGCGACAATGCAGTAACTGCCCCATTTCGTTGAGGATTTTCGTCCCACGCTCCTTTGCCAACGCAGACCGCATTACTATATATTTCAACCTGTCTTATCCTTTGCAGGAGGATCGTGTCATCTACAGTCGTGTAGCCGGTGCCCGAGGCCAAGACACAAACAACATGGAGGCGTTAGCTTACAAACATTACCTAAGCAGTCTGATTGCCAGTGCCACTGCCGGATTGCATCCGTCCCTCACTCAAAGTGGAGGCACTAGCAGCAATAGCGCCAATGCTGCGGCCAGTTTGGCTAGTCAACAGCAGCAGCTCTTGCAGGCACAGCAGCAGCAGATCCTACAAGCTTTCGGAGCGTATGCACGCCATCCTGCCTACGCAAGCCTGATCGCTTCTGCCCTGGGCAATTGGCAAGCCGCAAATTTCGTCGCCGCGTCCTCATTCATTCCCAATTCTCTAGAGCAGCCCACCGGGACGGTCACTGCCACAACCACATCAACCCATACGTCCTCCACAACCCCGAGTACCATGTCTACAAGAGCGCGTTCAGCTGGTACGCCTCTCTTTAGTTCGATAAATTGCTCCTTGACCCACCCATACTGTCGTGTTCTCAGTTCACCTTCCTTATCTCTTAGTGACTCCTGGTCACTTTTTCACCGTCCATAGTCACGAACCCGTCTCTTCGAAACGTGCGTTTTCCTTTTTTATTTAGCCGCTAGACTTCAAGACTCTCCTGGACCCACTGATATTCCCGAGGGTTCTGCTACTGGCACTGGATCCTCACTGTCTAACAGCCGCCCCGCCTCTCCTGAGCCCGTAGCAAGTGTATCCGGGAATCCGTCGTTTGGGGGCATGGAATCCGTCATTTCTGCCGCCTACAAACAAGCGACTGCCAACCTGGCCTACATGTACAACCCCTTGGCAGCCGCCGCTGCATACAGTCAGATGATGTTCTCCTCAGTGGCGAACGCTGCTGGCACTGATGCCTCGGGTGCGTTTTCATCACTTGGTCCCTGCTGTCCGTAAATCAGCGTAGTGTATACACATGGCCCATAGTTTCTTCTGACCGCTTCATTTTGATCATGGTTATCCTATCCTGATTGCTGCTCCTATAAGCGCACCTCCGGCCATACTTTTCATGACTTTTGCTCCTCCGATATTACTTGCATACAGCTGTAATAACAGCTGACCTCTTCTCATTTGCCAGCTGATGTCAGGCGGCGTGGCTTTATCCCGTTGACCAACATTGTAGTGCTGTTTCTGGTCGCTCACTAACGTCTCGTGTATTGGTAGTGATTATCTATTCGGAATCTCCTTGCTTTCTTGCTATCATCATTACCCTTTCCTTTTGCCAGGCTTAGCCTCCAATCCCGCCGGTTTGGCTGGACAACAAGCAGCTCTCGCTTCTCTATACGCCAATTACATGCTTTCCGCCAAACAAACTCAGCAGCAAATGAAACAGCAACTCGGCGCATGGGATCAGCAACGATTACAGCAACAGCAGCAGCTGGCCTCGCTCGCCTCTGGATTGGCTGCCGCCTGCTCCGGCACGAGTGATTTGGACTCTTCCAGTTTGCTCTCTATGTTTACCGGTATCGGTGCCAGACCTACGAACACCACTGCTTCATCAAGTGGAACTATGTGCTCTGAATCTGTCCCACTGTCAACTGTGCAGCCAGTTGCATCTCACTCTCAAACACCACCAAATTCGCAGTCCCCTCACCCATCCAGTCCCGTTAATCTTGCTGACCCTGGTCACCCAAGTTCACCGGACGCCGCATCTCATGACGTAACCGATTCCAAAAACGAATCCCAACCCAGTGACACTGATCAAAATCAAGCCATTTTGGATCTCAGCAAGTGAGCAGCGACCCTCATTCCCACTTTGGTTTCAACATGGCCTCTCTGGTCACGGGAGCCTACTCTCTTCTCCCCCTCCCTGTCCCATATTACCTCTCTGATGATTCGTTGCATCTAAAATCCTCTGGTTTTTCTTCCTACTCGCTCATCCATCATCACACTTTCTCCGTCAACCGGACCGCTGCTAGGCTCTCACGCTTCTCCCCATTTCCGTCGCGTATCCACTAACTCCACTAATGTTTTTGTGCGTCTGTACCCGGGCCTACTGATGCGTTTATTATCATTATTCATTGTTTTTTCTTCCTGTGTATGTATTTTAATGTTCTAGGACTTTTCTCTTCACACCCGAAAGTGTGCGCGCACACGCGCATGTCTATTGCCAACTCATAAATACACGACGGAGCTCTCTGCCCTTTTCTCCTCGCTGTGCATTGTATCAATTTGCTCTGCAAACGCCGATGTGTGTGTTTGCATGCCACATGCATGCCGAGAATCACGGCATCAACCCTCCTCCTCCTCCTCTTTTTCACCGTCGGCTTGTACGTACCATCAAGACTGTCTCTCTCTATATGTGTACACTGATGTTTTTCTTTTTGAGCCGGTCTGTTTTTCTTATTATCTTCTGGTGCTGCTGCTGCCCTCACTTTGGAACTCATCAATGACCGATCTGTCTATACATACGCCTTTTGCCCACTTGTTAATAACCGGCCAATCGTATTGTATTCACCTCTTTTTGTCTGTGGTGACGACGGCGGCGGAGCCATTGTGTGCATTTTTCACGTATACATATACACATTCAGTTATATATTTTATCGCTTTATCATTACTGTCGCCACGTCTAGGCGATATTAAGTGACGATAAATTCCTCCTGACTGTTGCGTTGGTGTTCTCCAACTCCTCCTCTGTGAGTTCTCACCGGTTTCCTTTTTCAAGCACTATCGGTGGCCCCCTCTATGTCGTTAGGTCACGATTGTTGTAGCTGCCCAAATTCTGCCCCACAGCGGCGCCGGCACGGTGCAGCAAGTTTGCTTCAGCTTTGTCGTTACGCACTCGCTGTTCCTCTTATACGCCATCTTCGTTATTCTGCCTTCCGATCAACCTTTGCTATTTTTCATTGCGGTGTAGATATCATGCCGACAAGTTTTTCTGAACTTGATCACCCATCGGCGCTTCTAATGGTCACATGAATGCCTTTTTCCTTGTTTCTACCCCGTGTGGTTCATCTGTGATGCGAACAGGGTGTTCCAATATCCCATGTGTTTTTGTGTCATTGCAAGTATCGCTAGCAGCGCATCAACCATTCGAACTGTTACTTCGATTTCTTACAGCCATTGTGAAGTATAGTAGGAGGGAGAGAAGGGGAATCTAGCCTAGAACCTATACGCCCTAAGCAAACGTACAGTTAATGGACTGGCTACTTTTGGCAAGTTTGTCGCTTGGTGATGGGGTTGCTTTGTTCTCTGCACGGCGGTAACGTGTAATTCAATGGATACTGAGCAGCGCTATATCACATCTAGTAACTCAGGCGCCTTGGTTGTTACCGTCCCCCGTAGCCCAATGGCCTTAACCACAGACTGGTACCAGTCGGGTTGCCGGCTCCAGCCCCACAGGGGCCAGATGCAATTCGCACTGCTGACGATTCCCGAAGGGATGAAACGGCTGTACAGTGCTTTTCCTGGTGTGTGATGGCTGTCTAACTAAGTCTAAATGTGATGAATTCCTACCTATACTATTCAACTTCCGTAATCAGTACGCAGACCAAACTGCTTATAATGGTATTAGTTAATTGGCGTCTTAAGTCTAGTAAGTTCCTCGCTTGGCGGGAGGGTTAACCTGTTTTCTACACAGCAGTAACGGGCAAGTCATTAGTAAGTGAGCAGCGCTATGTCACATCCAATAACTTATTCATGATGGTCGTTGCTGTCCCCCGTAGCTCAGTGCTCTTAATTACGTACTGACAACAGTCGAGTTGCGGGTTCGAGCCCTATCAGAGTCCGATGGAATGTGCACTGCTGACGATTTCCGAAAGGATGAAACAGTTGTACAGTGCTCTTCCGGGTGTTTGATGGCTTTCTGACTGAGTCTAGATGAGATGAATTACTACTTATAGCACTCAAACCTTCTACAGCTCCCTTGCAGACATACAAGGTCAAGGCGCCTACATGTTGTCAATGTGGCGGCGCCTCTAAATTGGCAGTTGTCTTGTTCCCCGAACATCGTTGTTTATCTACTGTAGATATATCAGTTTTGTAAGAATAAGCTGACATCTTTTTTCTTTCAACTTCCAAGGCCACCGAGACCGCCTTTTGGATATGAAGGTTGGGATATCACACACGATCCCCGATCTATTCTATTTGGATACACGATTTTACGTCAATTGAAACGATTTATGAAGCATTTTTTAATGGAACCTTTTCCCCTCTGAATGGATGCAAATCCCGAAGATTTAGTTCAGCATTAAGAGATCGTTGCTCGATCAAGTTAGGACATCGCACCCTTTTTCATTTTTCCACCCATTTGTATATTTAGCCTTTTTGATGGTATATCCGTTCAGTACATTTACAGTTGATAATGTAAAACTCCGAAAATGCGCCTATTTGGGTACATAAAGCTTATGCTGACTTAACTTGAGCAGCATACACTGTCAAACAGCTGGCTTCCTTTCGGCTTTCATTACCTTGAGTCGTAATCAACCATTATTCCGCAGATAACAACATCAGATAATTATAGCATGAAATTCGACTAGGAGCGGACAGAAGGCGCCCCAATGGGGCCGGCTGCAATTTATACCCAGTCAAGTACGAGGCGAGTTGCGTGGACGGCGGCAAGACGGGACAACAGCACGCAGTTTAGTCCTCCTCAGTGACTTCATTCCCTGCCGCCATCAACTTTCTCCCACCCTCAGTTTTTCGTCATCCTACACCCGGTGAACTATGCAAGGCCGTTTAGAGGAGTCATTTTGCATCCGTCGTTGCGTGTTTGGATTGCGACACACCATGTTAGGCTGCAAGCTTTGACCAGATATGTAGTACGTGTCCAACCCAATGCAGCTTATTCACTAAAGTTTGCTGTTTTAAAGAACCAACCTGGCCATCACCATCTAGTACTTGCCTGCCCACATCATCGTTGCGGACCCGCTGATCCCACCAGACACCAGAAGTGCTCCACAGACAACGATGATCAAGGAATTGCAGGCGCTTCACACCGAAAGCGTGAAGTCACATCCTCATAGAGTTGGACGGCCCTCACTGTGGCCAGATAAATTCGGAATCTCAAATCGAACGAATGCTGCTTTGGCGCTACAGATATCACAGCATCAAGAATGCTGTTCTTCGTAACATTAACGTACAAATCACTGGAGAGTGAGCCACACCACCCTCTTCTATTCTTGTTAGCTTCCTGCTTCCTTTCACAAGATTTCCACGTTTCACTTTACCTAAATTTCCGGTGCCCGGGAGTAGGAATCTTCACACGTTCGGTTGCACTGTGTGTCTTGCTACGCACTTCGTGTCAATTGCTGAACTACCGCTGTTGGCTTGGTTTCTTTTCATTGACAATTTTAATAACAACGTCAAACGAATCTACTGTGTACAGAATAAGGCCTACCAAAGCATGGAGGAGATTGCTGCCGATTGATCAGATTGTCCTCAGACAGTAGTGAATTCTTCACAGCCTGAATTGCGTGGTGGTGTGTCCGCTTCTCTCTCTCCCTACCTTCAGATCAATCTAATGTCAAGTTATGCGTGTGTGTTGCTTTGTATTTAAGTCGTCTGTGTGTTTGCCACAATTTCACGACACTTCTCATCGCGAATGCAAGCTGCGTGACTGCCAGGACAACACTGCGCACATGTTTATGATACTCCGTTCGATTCGCTTAGTTGCGCAGTTTGTCTCTCCATCCTGTGCTATTGCCGCGTCTTTTTCTCTCGTGTGTGTGTATTCATCAATTCTGCTGGGGATTCCGACTAGGTGTGGCTATGGCTTGTTTTTTCTTCATGTCTTTCCTATCACGTATCTAAGTACATCGATGTCTCTTAGACATCACAATATCGCTCTGTTCGGAGATTCCCAGCTTGGTGGTGTCGAGCCAAGGTCACATGTCATTAATCGGCCTCCAAACATCAGTTTTGTTACCGCCCATTCTTCAAGGCCGTTCAATGATGGTGACCTATTGTGCCGCTAGTTTTTTTCGTCAGCGAGGAAACTGGTCGGGTGCTTGGCTTCACAATCCTCCGCCATTTTACATGTTAGCTAATGGAAAACATCTCAGGTACTCTGTCGCAACACAACTTCAGTAAAGTGGGATAAGAGATAAAAACAACGAATCAATATTCTGCTTTGTTTAATGTTGCGCGTCTACAACAAGATCATGGTTGGAAAGTGAGGCTAAACTGGTTGGGGAGGGGCAAAGGAACACAACACAGGCACCACTAAGGTCGGTTCTTTATCACGTCAACAAATGTCCCGAGCGAAACGTGTTCCTCCTCTTTCGGACTTCAACCGGGGCATTCACCAACCGAGGTCAAGTTCGGAGCGAGAGTCTTGGTTCCTCTTGACCACACTCTGTCACTCGATTTCAAAGGTGCGTTCAACACCATCCATCGTTTCCATTCTATTCGACAAATAATCATTAGTCGCCTTAGCAGCTTACATGCCACCTCGATTGGTGGCGGCTTACAAAGGAAGTCGTTGCTCTGGGGGCCAGCCCTGTCCTCTGCACACTCACAACATGCAAGACAGTGGAGGATGAGCCGCGCTATATCGCAGTTAGATATCAGTCATGGCGGTCCGCCGCCGTCGCCCATGACTCAGTGACATAAGTCACTGACTCGCAAAAGTAAGGTCGTGGGTTCGATTCCGGCTGGTGCGCGCTACTGACGAGTCCCAATAGGACGAAACGGCCGTCTAACGCTTTCCTGGATGTATGGTGGCTGTCTGCCTGTGTCTAACTGCGACGAAACTACACAAAAATTTCCAGACTAAATTTGTACAATAATTCGTCT